GACTAAAATTCTCAGTAGGGAGAAACATGCATTCTTCCCACGTATTTTTTATTGATTTTGTTTATGCTTATTAAAAATGGGGAAAATCTACTCTCAGCCATAGGAAAAGTTTCATATTTTCATACCAAATGAATTGCAAAGTGAACTTAGGAAGGGTTTGCCCAATGTCTTGAGGCAGAAATTAATGAACCTAAATGCCCAGCCAAGATTTTACCAATTGTTTGAGTACGTTATTGTATTCTCAGTGTTTCCTTTCATGGGAACAAAGGTAAGGTAAAAATCTACAGAGAAATATTTCAAGTCATGCAAGTTACTCTCCACATACCACAAATCATGCTTTCATTCTAACCACCGGCTGTCTGAAGAAATTACTGCTTTGTGGGACGGTTGCTCACTCCGTGGTTTCCAGGTGGAAAACAGATGTGAGGTGAGATCCAGAGTGACCTTTCTGTAATGAAGCAGAGGGAACGGAGGTAAACACACGCTGCGGTTCGTTTTCATTCCATCCTAGAAAGCAATTAAAGTTCCACAGTCCACAAACAATCTAAAGCTAGGAATGATACAGTTGATGTAGAGCATGGCCACAACTTCAGAAAGCAACATTTTTCCCAAGGTGAAGAAACTCACGTGGGGTGATGGAGGAGGCAGAATGTTACTCATCAGTATTGTAAAGTAAAGAGCCTTGTATGAAATGTCTAGTAAATGAGGTTCATGAATATGACAGATTAATATAGTAGAGACGGCCAAGTTGACTTCAGTCTGACTAAAAAGTAACACACTCAAACCTTTTTGTGTTGGTGAAGCAGAGCTGAGTTTCTGCTCTTGGCCGGATGCAGACTGATTCCATGCAGGACTGAGTCAGCCCACAACTGTCGTAATTGACACTGGAGATCCAGCAGATGGGCACCGAGTCAGAGTTGACGTCTCAGTTAGTCCCACAGATGTTCTAGTGGGGAAAGGTCTGACTTTATCCTGGTAAAATCAAGGTTAAATAAATAAAATAAAATTACAATCAAATTGTTCTTTGAACATGTTTCACATGAAACATGACATGTTTGTCTTTGGTGATGAGCTCCAAGTGTTTGAGAGTAGAAGACCTCCGTACCATCACCCTAATCTGTATCTTTCTCCACAGATTCAAGCCAGGACTCTGGCTGGGTGACTTTTAAACATTAATGTCACTGGTCAAATCAACAGATAACTTAATATGTAAATCTCTCAGGGTTTGAATAATTTTGGGCTTAACTGTTAAAATAGTATTTGGTTTGTGATTTTTATTTCTTTTTTTTGTTTTTTTCATTGCAGGCTCAGAAACTACATTCAAATGCCACTGTTGATGTCTGTTCAGTAAGTTCATTGTCTATTATTTGATTCATTTGTATAAATTAGAAAATCCAAGTGACTTTAATAAAATCGTAGTCAGTTGCTTGAACAATATGAATCTGTTTCAGAGATGTTCATATAAACTTTCTTACATCACTCTGCCTGTTTTAAAACGATTGTGCGGTAAAAACGTCAAAGAATGTATGTCCTTTTACCAAATTGGCAATTTACAGTAATACAGAAGTACCATTGTTTGCTAAAATAATTTCATATATTTTTAAACTGACATTTTTCTCCTATGTTTTAGAACCATACCACAGCCCTCAGAAATTCCAAACACATTAAATAAAACAGCTTTAGTCTTTTTCTTCCTGAAAACAATTTATTTAAGACCATCAAGTAATCTGCTCAGTGATCAAATCATCACAAGGACCTAATCCGACCTCACTGCTGGAAGTGTCTGACCTTCGTCTGACGGTGACTGCCACAGCAATCTTTGCTGCCTTCTCTGTAAACTCTTGGTCTTTGTAGTTCCTTTGAGGCTGAAATGGGATCGTTGCTTATCTGCCGACTTTTAAAGTTCACTGTAAATGTCATTCTGCAATAATAAGGCACTGCTATGCACTGGACTGACATTTAGTGGAAGCAGAACCGGGTCGCTGGGAGATGACCCAGTCATTGGTTTGCAGCATCATAAGCAATGGAGCAAAAATACTAACATACCTTTTACATGCTGGGCCATGCAAATTTAATTACCTTCAAATGTGAGACTGTGTTTATTCTTTCACTTCATGATTTTATAGTTACTAAAACAACCTTCCATTATATTTCTGTCACCCTTGATTAACTTGATTTGATTTAGGTCATTGTGCAATGTAAAAGTTTAATATGTCCCAATAAAAATGTGGTGAAGATTTTTCTAAAGCTCATAAATAATGAAAATTTATTGTGTTTTTATTGAGGGAAAAAAAGTTCATCAAAATATTCAGGCTTCCAGATAACGTTTTAACTGTAAGAGAAGCTTCTCAAGGCTGGGGCTTGTTGACAGTCATTATTAGGAGCAACATCAAAGCCATAAAAACTTTTCTCAAAACAATAATAAAACTGCCAACCAAGTGCTTTGATGGAGTTATTCCCTCTTTATCCAATATAACCAAGTTCCAAGGTCCAGAAAAAAGGTTTAGGTGAGTGAAAAATTCCATGCTGTCAATCAGTTAAAAAATGTGATCAGATTAATCACACCTTATGCTGTGATTAATCACAATTAACCACTAGATTCTTAACTTTGTAATCTTGAAATGTAAAAATGCACATTTTCCTAAAAATGTTAAAGAAAATATTTTATAGCCTCAAACCAAACATCTCAGTTTTCCAGGTTTTCATATTCAGGAAGCTTTAAAATAAATCATTTTATTCCAAACATAATTTAGAAATGGTAACTCTAAACTGGTTGAGCTTCCATTGAAGGATAATTCACCATTACAGTAAATCGGCCACATGCTGGTTTGGTTTTATTCAAACATTCATCACGGTGGTTTGTAAAGTGAAATTTTCTGCTGAGTCACCAGTCTGACTTGTTCATATTTCCCTCACAGTTGTGACTGCGTTGCTGAGCGTAGTACATGATCGAGTACCGCACTGCTGTCAACTAAATAAGGCTTTTTGGTCAAAATAGATAACATGATTTATCTACTTTATGAAATATTAACTCGTTTAACTTCATAGATTAATCACATGGGCTAAAGCATTAATGTTGGCAGCCCTAGAAAAAAGTTATATGTATCTATTTCTTAAAGATCTAGTAGATCTAGATGTGCCATTCACAATTTATGACACAAACACACATGGACTGTGTTCTCATAGCTTTAATATTAACATTAAGCTTCAATGACTTGAACCAAATGGTTGCTCTGGAGGTGTGGAACACCATGGACAGGTTGCCAGTCCATCACAGGACTCGGAAATCTGAAATTATTTCAGGATTTCACCCAAAGTGTTATCAGCCTGGAGGGCCACCAGACTTTACTTTTCCCCACCAGGCTAAGAGTTGTTTATTTTAGCTTGGGTTTTTTATACACCAATAACAGTGACATAAAGATGGATTAAGCTAGGTTTATAGTTCACACATTGAACTGGACATGCAATTGTTTTCACTGACAGCCTCACACCAAGTCTCTGGAAAAAGAAAACATCAATGGAGGGAAGACATGAGTCCTGTTTGAAGTTCATCACAAGGCATTAAGGCAACACATCAAACATGTGGACGAATTTACAGAAATGTAACTGAATAGAAGTAGGCCTCTCCTTTGTCTGCAGCTAATCTTAAGAGTCTGTCTTAAAACTGAGGTATCTGTTTATCTCTGCATCACGAGTAATTTAGAATCATTAAACCATGCGTTGCCTTTCAGTCTGATCCCCAGGCTCCGAAGGTAGATGGTCCAAGCACGTCCAACACCATCCTGCGAGCCTCGGCCGTCTGCAGACAGGCTGTGGGTGTCACCTCCCTTCTGCCCCTGCTGCTCTACTTCGGAATGCAGGGCTACTTGTAGCCCTGCTGCCAGAAAGCTGCAAATTACGGACTGAGAAACTCATATTTGTATAAAAGAAAGCAAAAAAGGAAAATGATATCCTTTCTTTTTCAGTACCTTCTGTTGTACTTTTGTTGTCCCTGGATCTTTTCATTTACACTTTTGTTTCCCGATCTGTTGGTTTTTGCATTGCAGCATAATGCTAAAATGGTGATTTATTAGACATTTTGACTTAATTCCAGCTGGTTTGGTCAGAAACTTAGATTTGAAGCCACTTACAAATGCCGCTTGAGCAGGAAGATGTGACAGAATACTCTTGAGGACTACGTTCCACTGATGGATGAGCGAAGACCCTTGAAACACAGTGTAAATTAACATCAGTTTTCAGAGTTCCCCATTCAAGTTTTCACCGATTTCTGTTTGCGTGTTGAGGCTTTTTGGTGGGATCATTTGCTTAAGAGTCACAGTAAGTTCAGTAAAGCTACAATCTATCACCGAGGCAGCGGTTTTTGTTTTTTTTTTTGTTTTTTGTTTTTGGTGTTGTTCAGTCTCCTTTGTGATTTATGTATGTTTTGATAATGATGTGATCTGGTATTTTACATTTATATGAGCTTACCTAAAGACTCAAATGCACATCACCTGCTTCAAAACAGTGGAAAAGTTTCAAAGGCCGGACCCAGAAATGTCTTTGCTTTATTTCATACTGAACACTAACGTCAGCTGATAAGCACACATGACGAAGTCCCACAGACAAATACATCACATGTCACACACGAGACAATGAATATAGACATGCATATATCAACTGTTAATGTTGGAGCCACTCCTGTCATCTGTTACTGCACCTGCTTTAAACTCTCCATTCTTTAGTTTCTTTATGGAAGACAACAGCAAAGCTCCTGAACAATCATCTTATGGTTGAGATCATGCACCTGATAAATTGTCAACCGTTTTCAATAACTCTTACTTAAAACCACCTGAAATTCTATGCTTCCCTAATGTCAGAGCGGTTTTTAATTGATTATTTTCTGAAACCCTTCCAACCCCACACCCTGTGCTAATTGGTTACCACCCAACAGACACAGATTTTTGACAGGATTTCTTAGAGGGTAAATTTTGCTGCTGTAACCAGTTTTTCTATCTCCAGCAGCCATTGGGCAAGAGGTGGGGTACACCATGGAAAGGTCGCCAGTCCGTCAGGGGATAAAACAGACACACTTTGGATGAACAATCATGAATAAATCACTCATACACGTAATATGAGCAATCTAACGCTACCATTTAAGCTTAGGGAGGAAACTGGAGAACCCAGAGAGAATCCACAGGGAAAACATGCAAAACCCTAAAAAAAGACCCCAGGTTTGGGTCTTAACAGACAACACAGCTTAACCTCAACTGTAATCTCTTAATCTTGTCAAAGATTCTCAGTTGAATTTAAGTCTCCTGACTTGTGTTGTGTTAGAATTGCACAGTCAAAGTTCGCTTTGACTGTGCCACTCTAACACAATATTACTCTTAGCCATATGTTTAGGTTTATTCTGTTAAAAGGTGAACTACTGTCCCTGGATTTAGCTCCATCTTTACCTGCTGGAAAAAACAGCACTGCATAACACTTCCACCACCATACATCACAGTAGGGATGTATGGTGGCGGAAGTATCATGCGGTGATATGAGGTGGGGAGTTCAAGAGGTGTAGCTCCTTGTACAGTATGAACTGTCTCTAATAAACATAGTGACTGCTGACAGATTAAGAAATGTACTTAATGACTATTGACACTAATGGTGACTTGTAAAAAATCATTATGAACAGACTCTGTTGGACTAAAGCAAAATATAACCTTTTTAACAGCTTAGGATTCAAGCCTCCTTAACACAAAGGTCCATTAATAAACTGTTTCTTCTGCAAAGTTGTGAGCATTGTAACTAAAAGTTTGTCTTTTTGTGTTGTAATAAATCATGTAAAACGCTCCATTAGAACTTCCTGCTCAAAAACACTAATTTGGTGCAAACATTTCAAACAGTGGTGTGTTAGGGCCATTGTGGATAGAAAAAAAAGGAGTAAAATTTCACCAAAAAAACTGAGATATTTTGAGATTAATCTCAGAAATTTGCTAGACAAAAACGAGGGAATTTTTGATATCTTCCTGACTACCAGTAGTTCATTTTTGTCCTCTGTAGAGGACATTTCTAAACTTGAATATCTCCCACCCCCTGCATTCTACTGAATTAATTCCTTTTGGTATCTGGAGAGGACATTTAGGGCTTTTCAATGATACCACATGTGAAGGGGTGGGACTTTTGTACGTACCTTTTTCTAATTCATAAAAATTGCATTCATCAGTAATAACACATTTTATGGGAAGAGACAAAGTAAGTGCATAAAACCTTTTATTACCTTACAAAGAATGTGGGATTTAAAAAAAATGGTGATTGGACAATATTTTTTTTTCCTGGTAGTCAGGAATATGCAAAAGTTGAAAATTTGCTAGAAAAAAAACTCACCTTAAAAAATGTTCTAGTAAACACTTGGAAATTTTAGAAACGTAAAATAAAAAAAAATATATTAATCTCAAAATTTATTTATTTTTCTTGCAATGCTTTGCTATTTCAAACTCAGAAATGTTTTTTTCTCAAATTTCTGAGAAAACTAAGAAATGTATAGATTATATAAATTTCTTAGTTTCTTGGCACAAATGTACTACTTACTACTCTTTTCTTATCTGTAATGGCCCTAATACACCATTATAGAAAACAAAACTGCTGATGTGTTTTTTAAAGAAAAATCAGTTCCCACATCTGGCAGAAATGAGAATTAAAAATACATAATGTCATTCAAGTTCTAGAGCTGACATTTTAGTTCCAGTTTAACTAATTTCTGTGGATTGTCCTGTTGCAACATGATTGTGGGGAAATGTTTAGTACTACATTAACCTAATTCATGGAATATTGGTGCCTAGGTATTTAAGGAAAATATCTACAATAGCAATGACTATAGATGATACTTGATGGAACTATTTCATTTGAATCAGTCAGTAATGATGGGAATATAAAATACTTGTTTTAACTGTAAGAACAGCTTTAGCTTTAGCTGGAGTTAAGCATCGAGTCAACTTTCATCTTTTTTTTCTCCCACCATTATCTTATGTGAACTTATGTCTGCTCTGTATAATTTCCAAAAAGTTTCAGAAAAAAAGTTTTAAAAAGAAAGTGACGTTGAACACATACAGTGTCTGGTTCCTGCCACAGGAAATCACAAACCTTGTTTTCTGTCCTACACCTCGTTCCCAGCTTGAGTTCAGGATTTCGCCTCGACACGCTGAGCTTCTCTCTCCAACTGTTTGTTGCTCCTGCGGGAGCGTTAAAAACTCGCTGCTTTGGTTCATGTAGCTAATCAGAACACAATTAACGTATCGTAGAACCTCAATGTTATTTACCGAGCATAAACATGGTATATGCACTGTACGTACTTGGCTGAAACACTTTTGAATCGGACAAGTTGATGTCTTATAATATTCTCTTTCAGAGCATTGTGAACTGGTTCAATTTTCCAATTCAACTTAAGGTACAACAAATAAGCCAGAATATAGTTGTTTTTTTATGACAAATGTATATTTCTCTCTATATGTATATGATTATGGAGTATTATTGCATCTGAGAAAGAGGCTAACCCTCTCCTTGTAGTTAAAGCATATTGTTTGTATGATGAATCCCATTTACAAAGTTGCTGAAATGAGCTGTTAGTTTCTTTTTTTGGCTAAGATTAACAATTATTTTTCTAACTTTTATTTAATGGTTTGCTTTTATTTTTAAGAGCTGAAGTGAACCCACCATGTCCTAAGACTGCTACAAGCAGATATTGTAATTGTTTCTGGATTTATCTCCAAAATTGATTACAAAGGTGATAGGCAAAAGGGAAAACTGTTTGGTGTTAAAAAAATAAAAATAAAAAATCATAATGCACCAGAATTTGACATGGAAACTCATTTTAAAAAGGTTTGGATGAAAAAATTTATTAAAAGTTGACTCATAATAAAGTTTTCACTCAGAACCGATTCTAAGAAGGTTTCTGAAACTTCAATTTTAAATCCTAATGCCTCTTCAGATTATGGGAGGTCAGATATTTTTTTTTTTTTTAATGGTTCATCTGATACAGACTGAAGACGGTAAACATGTTTGCAGTTTACCACCATCCCATCTGTTGTCTGAAAGGACCAGAAGTTACCCTTACCTGTCTGACATTGTTTACTTAGCTTGTGAAAATGTAAAAATCTACTGTACAAACCTTCTAATTAAAAACTGTTACTTCACTCAAATTGTGTGTGAATTGTCTGTATTTCACTGATGACAGATGAGGCACACAGAGGTTTCTCCTGTATTTCTCCCAAAAATCAGTTCCTTGTTCTTCGCTTCACTTCTTCCACAGGGTCTGGGCTCTTTGTCATTGAGAAGTGATTGCTTCCTGAAGAGATGGACTCTTAAAATTTTACATTTTACCCTAATGTTTGCCTGTCACGTTTAATAACTCATAGGTTCTAGAAACTGTGGAATCTGTGCATCACAAAGTTGCAGGTTCAGAGTCAGTTTCCTGCCCTCTAACACATTGACATTGCCTAGGCAAGGCACCAAACCATCTGGGTGATTATGTTGTAAAGTGTTTTTAGTGCTCAGACTAGAGAAACCCTGTAAATTAAAATTAAAAATTAAAATTATTGTGAGGACATTTTAAAAAGCCATAAAAACACACAATTACTTCACAGAACAAAATGGTTGTACTTTTTCCCCCTTATGGTTTAAGTTGTGGGTTTTTGCTATAAAAATGTGATACACCACAAAAGTCACTTGAAAACCCTCAATTTGAATCAAAATGTTTTCATAAACAAGACACTATGTGGACATGTTTACAGTGTTTTTGCTGATATTGGATATCCTGGAACAGATGCTGATACTCTTCTTCTGTTGTAATTTCTATTCATTTCTGTATATTTTTATGTATCTTGAAAACGTACCACTATACACATTTTAACAACATACTTTAAAGTTGCCACAATCCTGAACACAGCTAGTTTTCACTCTAACGCAGTGATTCTTTAACATATCTCATTATTTGCTGTCAAATTTTTGATAAAACTGATGGAGAGTTACCATAGGACGTTTTGTACATATTGAAGAGGGAAATTTTGAAGCTCAAGCTGCTGTTCGTGGCTCAGTGCGTTAATTGCTAACATGGAGGACATCTTGCAGATACATTTTTAGCCTTGTGCATGAAACCGAAAAATGATTTGACATCTGCATCTCCACCAACTGCCAGAAGATTAGTCTGACATTTCAGGGCTTTTTTTTCTTCTCATCGTCATTCATTATCTGACTCATCCATCATCTCAACTGCATGTCCTCCTGCTCCTATACAGAACACCACTTTATCTTAATTCAATGTAATCCCCTTTTTATAAAACCGATGTTAGCTAAAGTGTCAATGCTTTGACATACTTGTCGCACCCGAGTTATTCACCTGTTATTCCTTTTCTGGTGATAAACTGGTTAACTTAAACTATTGCTAACCAAAATGCATGTCAGGGTAGATTGGCTCTATCAGAAACTACAAAATATTCTAACATAAAGATTTAGATTTAATTTATTTGGTAGAGGCAATGCACATTAATTAACATTATTATAAGAATTTATAAAATATTGTCTGCCAGAATTAGTCAAAAGGCTATTTTCCATCTG